CCTTGCAACCAATATTGATTCAAAAGAAAGTTCATTTATTGAAAATAAGTGTACAGTTCCATTAGCATTGCTAAGACTGAGCATAAGCGCGCCAAAAGTTGTTTTTCTTACCTTACCCCCCGCCCCACCACCCTTAGTTCTTGGTCTTCTGATTCCCTCGCTGGTACGACCTTGCACGTTCCAGTGCTTGTGATAAGGAGCCATCTGCTTTTAACGGTTTCTCATTCCTTCTCTCCCCCCACCCCTTTTACAATGGCAGAACCGCAGCATGTAAAAAGCAATTTCTAAACTAGGCATATAAGAATCTACTATAAAATCTTGCGAGGATTCTGACAGTGACTTTATTGGGAAAGTGCTGTACAAACCAGTCACAGTAACCAGCCAGGAGAGCTCCCTGTTGTCCTTTCCCCAAAATGGATAAGGTTGCTGGATAAAAGCCCCCCAAGCAGCATGCTAGAAGAAGTCAAGAAGTTTCACCTCACTTTTCATGATGGTGGAGGCTCAAATTGGAGCTCGTGGCCATGCTTGGCAATGTTCACTACTCATATTACTACTGATAGAAACCCCAAGAATCACCAGATTGGCTATCTTGACCTGCCTGGGATATTTAGAGCACAATTCCTAGGACTTTCAGAGAGATTGTGGTCATGCTGCTTGTGACTCCTGGTAGGTGGTGTCACAAACTATCTGGGAACTGCCTTGTGGAGAAGGCTACATTACGTCTTCTGTACTATATATGTTTTCCTCTTTTCTAAGTGGACTTCTTTTATCTCCATGTAACATGGATAAAAAGAATTAATCTGCTCTTTTCAGGTTATGAGGTCATTGGTATGGAGCAGCTCCCCGAAGGACCAGGGTTGATTATTTTTTACCATGGAGCTGTTGTTATAGATTTTCCCCTCTTTGCAACTAAACTCTATGCAACAACTGGGAGAACAGTTCATACTGTCCTTCATTGGATCTTTTTTTCAGTACCAGGTAAAGCATTCTAACTTTATATTTATAATGAGAGCATTGCAAAATACCCCCAATATTTCTAAAATTCAATTCTCTAGTGTGATGCCAGGGTCTAACAATGAACCTGGTTCAAAACAGGATTCAAGATGTTTTAAAGAGAGCATTAGGTGTTTCCAACTAGTGATCCAGACAACCAGCTGTAACCCGCTAGCTTTAATTTGTTATCTCCCACTCTGGAGGTCTATTATTTCAACCCTGGTGAGCTGCATTCATCATTCCAGGCAGATGTAGCCTAGGCATGTCACCTGGTCAACCCCAAGGTTTCCAGCTTCATGACTGACAAATCGCTAAGGTGCTCTTTCTTCCTGGAAGCCACTGTGTAAAGATTGAACTTTTGATCATAGTACCGGCCACAGAAATGGACAACTGCAAAACAGGTGAGTTCAAAAGTGTGACCAAATTTCTTGGATTGTACAGGAAACCCAGAACAGGAAACTTTTGTGTCCTGGACTTATTGCATTCTTGGCAAGGGGCAATAACTTTTGTGGTGAACTTGCTATGTGGAAGCCATCTTGGAAAACAATAGGAGTATAAATTATGCTTCTCCAAGGAAGGTTTGTTCCTTCACTTAGTCAGGCAAAAGAAGCATAACTGGTGAACATGTTGGCCTCTTTGCATGGGAGCATCCAGCCAATATAGGACAAAACATTTTCATTGTCTGGAGCAACCTTTTGCCCAGCCTGGGACACCAGAGTCAGGCAAGCTGCAAGTTGTGGAGGTTTAGGTTTGCTGTTAATTATCACTAGGCAGCAGGAGAGGATAGAAGAGCAAAGTGATAAGCTAGGCCTTATGCTGTCAGCCTTGCGACGTAATCCAGACAGGAAGCATGCCCAGATGAGCGAATTCTACTTTCCTGCGAGCTTACATCAACCGAATCTTGCAAATCTGAAAGTACATTTCTCCCCTGTCAGCTTTACAGCCTAACAAACTAGGGAGGATCCCTTCTGAGACATTTGCCATTCCCACATTCTTGCTGCAGGCTAAACTGCCTCTTACCGGACTGTCCCCCTGGCTACAGCTCTTCCCCCATGGAAGCACTTCCTAGTTCTTTTGGTATTTTGAGACAGGTTGATCACCCGTAGCAAACCAAGTTGCAATGTTCTTGGAAAACAAGCTTCTGTGGTGAAGGGTTATCTCCCCGGGTATATCCACTAGTTGCAGTAATACAGATTGAGTCTGGCAAGATTGATGTCAGGCCCAATCCAAGAACAACAGAGAAACAGTTCATCCAAATTCAGTTCTTTAATTGCTTCTACCATGTAGAAGAATCTTGCCAGAGTCGATCTATGCTATTGCAACTAGTGGATAGCCCCTGGGAGATTCTAGGGAGTGGTTATTCTAAACCCCTTACACTTCCAACACTCCTGCTTCAGACTGGGTTGTCTCTTGTCTCTCTGGAATGCTCCCCTCCTTCCTGAGAACCTTCCTCTCTACTGAATCCACCACAGGAGCTGAATGTTTAGCAGGAACAAAAGATGTTAAAAATTTGAGGGTCAGCTTATCCATGGATGGGCTTATCTGTCAGTATATACAGGATTTAAAAAAAAAAACAACTTCCCACTGCCCCATCTCTGCTCACATATGTGATATGTGGCCAGTGGGGTGCAACCCTTTTGCAGCAAAATGTTTCCATTACCTTTAGGTCTTACTCTAGTTTTTATAAGTTTTCATCTCTGTTCCTTGTTTGTTTGGACTCTCTGAATCCAAAAGATTCTGTGAAGTGTCATAAAGGGAGTAGTCCCTGAAACATATATTTTACACCTCATGGATTATAATCTGGTAACATATCTCAGAAAGTGCACCCCTCTTCAGACTGACTCCCTGTTACTGAGCTGAAACTTGTATGTTGTTTTGCTTTTTTCAATTAACAGAAAAGGTAAGGGGTATCCTTCATTTTGCCTTGCTCCTAAATCCCAGATGGAAGGTGGGAAAAGGAGGCATTAGCTATCAGTTCCAGTGAAACCAATAACTCCAACATTTGCCCTAAGCTCTCCCAGTTGAGTGGGTTGTCCTGGTGGTGAGGGACAGTGAGACCTTTTTAGCCCTGGGTGAGTTGAAAATTAGCCACACACCTGGCTATATTGTAATTATTTGAGTATTCCAGAAAACTGCTTAAAAGCAGAGGAACACTTGAAAAAGGCAGAGTGGAAAGCTGCCCTATTATCAAAGGATAAAAAGGCAATACCTCCAGAATGATGATTGCGGAATAATATATTTTGCTAAGATTAACATTTGTATGAAATGTTTTCCTTTCTTCTATTCTTTTTTTCTACAGGTTTAAAAACGTGTTTTGATGTATCAGGTTGCATAGAAGGCAAGCAAGCAGAGTGCGTTGAGATTCTGAAGAAAGGCGAGTTAGTAGCAATAGCCCCTGGTGGAGTGAGAGAAATGAATTTTAGTGATGAAAACTACAATCTGGAGTGGGGTACCCGTACGGGATTTGCTCAAGTGGCTTTAAAAAGCAAAGTGGTAAGTGGTCATGCCAAGGATCATGCCCAAAGAGCAGACACGTAAATGCACGTTACTGATTATGTGGAGTAGTGTACTCTAAGGTGCTCTGCATGAGGCTGCCCATGATGACCACTTGGAGGCCAAAGAATGGGGCTAAACAAGCACCTTGACATACCACTGTCACCCCTCTGTTTGGGAGCTGCACAGGGGCTTCTGGGTGCAACTCAAGGTCCTTCTTGTCCCCTAAAAAGCCCTAGATAGATTAGAAGAATTGCCCTTCTGCTTGTCCTTTAAGGCCAAAACAGCGATTAAACAGTGCCACTCTTTAGGATCCCGAAGCTGTGCTCTCTCTGTTGCCCTCTGAAATACCATCCCCTTGGAGGTTTGTCTGGCCCAACCTTACCATCCTTTAGAAAAGCTGTAAAAACCTGGCTTTTCACACAGTCCAGGATCCAAGGCGCTTTGTGATCCCAACCCATGGAAAATGGTTGATTGGTATTTTTCTACCCGATATTTGTTTATGGAGTTGTAATTGTTTTAATGCTGTTTCTACACTATGTACCACCTAGATTCTGTGAAGAAAATCCTGTTGTCAACAAGTTGTATGTGTTTCAGAATACAGTAGTACGTATCCTAATAGTATTTGACACTGGCATTTATTCTAGAAGAGCGTGGAACTATAACCAAATTTCCATATTGCAAATTTGGCTGGAGTTAGTTTTCCTCAAAACTTCCAGCCTAAACCAAAATGCTTTCCCAATTCCTATCAGTTTTTAACTCTTTGTTTCTCTCTCTCTCTCTCTCTTTAGCCAATCATCCCTATGTTTACACAAAATATCCGCGAAGCATACAGGACAGTTGGAAAGACACGTGAGCTTCATTTTCTATATTCCTTCCAGTATAATTCATTACGTAACCCTCAACAATATTTTATTATTATTACTATTATTACTATTACTACTACTGCTAAGAATTTTTATCATAATAGTAAAATCTAATACAAACTACCAGAACCATTATTTTTCAAATCCTTTAATATCCTTCAGAAATTTCTGTGGCTCAGGAGAGATGACGTTGCTCAAAGTTGTATCAAGTAAATATGTCGAAATCAGTTGTGCAGATGAGGCAAATGATTTCATGGCCTGAAGAGAAAGGAAAGATTGTCCTCTCCCTTAGGGACTAAGTGGCTGGGCAATTAATATTTCTTCCATATTAACACCAAAACAGCATTTTCCACATCCCCAAAGGGCAGCTAGCAAGTTGATTGCAGGAGGAAGACACCTTCTTTTCCCTCCACTTTCCTGGCCCTGCTGATTCTGCTTAAAACCCGTTCTGTACCAGGAAGGAATGGATGGGCCTGCTTCTTGGAGAGCAGCAGGTGACAGGAACTGGGCAGAGCTCAATTTCTACTTTGCTTCCAGTGGACCTGAGGAGAACAAATGCAAAGAGCTTGCAGATTACATCTTAGAGTCCCTTTCTGGGAACTTTGAGAAATCATGGAGCACAAGTGTAGCACCAGAAGACTGGAGGAGGGCAAATGTTGTTCTTGTCTTTAACAAGCAGGAGGGAAAGTTTGCCTGGGTAACTGCATATCAGTTGCCTAGACAGTGATACTGGCAATATTTAGGGGAAAAGCAGCCAGTTTCTAGCTTTTGGACTTTGAAGAAGCAGGATGGAAAGAGTACTGGCACTTTTACACTTGATTATTGAAGGAGACTGCTGAGAATGCAGTGGACCACCAACAAAACAAACTAATTAATCATCAAACAAATCAACCCAGAGTTCTCTCTCGAGGCACAAATGACCAGGCTCAAATTATCCTACTTTGGACACCTCATGAGAAGACCTAGGAATGTTTCCCCAGTAATGCTGGGAAAGGTAGAAGGAACGAAAAGAAGGGGATAACCAGCAGAAAAGTGGTTTGACTCAGTTACAGTGGCAATGGTCCATGGTGGAAAGACCTGAAAGACCAGGTTAAGGAAAGATTGTCATGGAGAAAATCTATTTATGTGATCGCCAAGGGTCAACACCAACTTGATGGTACATATGCAATTAATCAAATCCGCCTTTTAGAAAAGAATGGATTTTTTGTCAGTTGTGTATGTGTGCACATGTGTGGAAACACTTACAGAACAGTCTCAAGTTGGCACTCTGCCCACTAAAACAGCAAGACAAATTTTAATAGACATGAATGTGAAGTTCTACATTTAAATAGGAAAATCAAAGTCATGAGTATAGAATGTAGAGGAGACCATACTAGATAGCAGTGCATGCAAATTCCATCTGGGTGTCCTGGGAGATCACAGGTGAACATAAGCCCAGAGTGTGAAGCAGCTGCAAACATGCAAATGCAGTCCTAGACTATGTCAGCAGCAGTAGAGTGTTAAAATGAAAGTATTGTTCTGGTCTGGTCTGGTCTATAGTGGCATTGGTCAGACTGCAAATCTTTTGACAACTGTCCTGTAAAAAATA